CCTAGACAACCTGTTGAAAAACATACAACACAGTAAGCAGCTTTCATTCCCTGATGTTTTTTGAGAAAATATTCAGCTACGTTTACTGCTATCAAAACAGAAAAGCCAGCATCAGACTTGGAAACCTATCTTTCATCGTTGATGGAAAATACAGTTTACTTGGCTAAATCTTGCCAATCCAGGCCTGTGGCTCCTCAATCCATTTTTTGCTAGGTAATTTAGCTAAATAGTGTGGCGAATCAGTTCACATTTTGATCTTGTTCATTGTGAAGCTGTCCCTCCCTGTAGTGGGACTTTAGCTGGAGTGAGACTGAGAAGGCTTCCTGTGGAATGGTTTTTGAAGGAGTTAGGGGAAGAGTAACAGAGCTTCATGTCAAGTGTTTACTAAAGTACTAGGAAGTACACTCTGCTACCTAATGTGGAACTCAGAAATCAACAAGTCAGACAATACTTCATCCCTCAAGGCCTTCCATACACAACTGCAAAGATAACTCCAGAACTCCTCCTTCAGAAGATAGCAAGGATTTTAGTAGAAAGGATAGGACTCTCAAAGCCAACTGTGGAAAGTTAATGGGAATTACCAGGCACCTGATGTCTTAGTCTAATGGGGAATGTTTCTAAGGCTTTACTCCCAGGAACAAAGGGATAAATCTTTACCTAAGTACTGTGTAGAATGAATGGCTTTGGCCCACATGTTTTGTTACTAAGTTCACATGGCACGAAGTCCATTTGGAATGGCTTATGTGAGTTCTATAAAGGTGACCTGGACATAGGTAATAGGGATAAAAAAGACACTGATGAAACTTAAAGAAGAGTACTGAAACTTAAAGAAGAGTTACTGAAGTTAAAGCAAATGTCTTGATGTGGAGATAAAGGGAGGCCCTGGAAGGGTAAGTAAATTTACATGGGGTTCCACTAAATTCTTCTCCAGGATCACATCCTCTCTTTTTTACCTTACCTTATATTACATATTTGTTCCTGCTTGAGTTATGGAAAGTGACAAAGGTCAGGCTTAAAATTTAGGATTTGCAGGTGAGATTTAAATAATTTTAAAAAAGCATAGAAGATTATAATTTCTGGGCTCCTCTGAGAACTGAAGAGAACAGATTTGACCAAACAACAGAAAAAGAACCCACCTTGAAGACTGTAGAGTAAATCCTGAATGCCTTTATCCTACTGGGCGTGGTGGGAGGGGGGTTGTTGATGATAAGAAAAATTTCTGAGAAACTTGAGCAAAGCTAGAGTTACGAAAATGTCCTCTGGGACTAGGAAGTACAAGTCTTGGCAATTCTAGGGTTACATTTTCAAACTTTGAGAATAGTTGAAAAACTCATAAATGCAATGAAAATTTTTAAAAAGTAACATGAGAATTTGGAAAAGTAGAAATCACTTGCCAGAAACACATTAGGCCAAAACATTTGAGTTATCATACTCTAACAAAATAGATCAATTCTCTGACCAGTAGGGCTTTAGTTTTCTTCTCAAAATTTAATGCCTAGTGAGTATATTTCATTGAAGATGCTTAATATGCACAGAGAACTGATCAACCCAGAATTAAATGCTGAGCCAAACAACTGTATTTCTTCTTGGGATAGTTTGAAAAAAATACCTTGGGAAGATTGATGACCCCTAGAAGACTACTAGGGGAAAATTTGGCCCATGTGTTGATCTAAGATATTATTGTTTGTCGCAGTCTAGTTGGATCTAATAAAGAGGTAAGCTGAAGTCACAAAGGAAAATTTCCTTTGTGAAGTTTGATGTTAGAGCCTCAAAGTTCTAGTCAGTGGAACCCAAGATCAAAGCTTTACAGTTATAAAAGGAACCCAAGATCTGAACAGATAGAATGTAGAAAATTAAGTGGGCTTTCTGTTACCTATAAATCCATTACTATGATGCTTCAGACAGAAAGTCACAGCTCCTCCTAGAACTTTCTGGCCAGTTCATTTGTATGATCAGATCATTCATCCAAGTGGCATACTTTTTTGTAATCCATTGGAACCCAATTCAAATAGTAATTTTACTCTTCTTGGAAACATTGGGTTTAGGAATAATTCAGAAGAGTACAACTCCAGTCCAATGTTGACTGAACTGGGTTCTGTAAAACTCTAGTTTTTCAAGATGTTTAACAGTTATATCATGAAAAGAAGTGCCTCATGCTCAAATAAGTTGGAGAAACCCCAAAGTAAGCAAAATTAAATAACATTCATGTTTATTGAACTTTTTAGAAGATTTATTAGGCTCAAATATATATTGAACCTCCAAGAGGTTGTTACAGCATGCACCATTTCCCCAACTTATTAGTCTATGAGACTTTTTTGGAAAGAACACTTATTAATATCCTAAATAACTTGTTCCAGGGATCACAGTATATAAACCCCCAAGAGAGTGCAGTCTCTCTACTTCCTGTGGAATAATAACTAAATTTTTTCATGGATGGGTTGACTTTAATCCAGTTTCATTTGACTAAGCTTTTTGGTCCACTTTTATTTTGACAGAAAATAGCAGAATCACAAAACCCTATTATTAACTGCTAAATGTTTCTCTCTCTCTTTTTGTTTTTCCAGCTGGACAATTAGTTAAATACTTACTCCCAAAAGTTAGTGGAGAATACTTTGTTTGAAGACTCTCTGTCTACTTTAACTTTGTTCGTTTTTAAATTTGAAAGATTCTGTTCCATTTCCATACAAGTTGGAACTGTGATAGAATTTATAGCAGGTCTTGACTCATTGTTAGATATAAATAAGGTAATTTACATAAGAGGAAGATGAATTTCTAAGTGATCTATGATAATCATCAGGAAAGTCAAATGAAAAATTACTCAGGCAGGCCATTCTTCAATCTTTCTATCTCATTTCCACCCTGTATTAAGGGAGAAATATGTTTAAACATGCTGCTATCCAGTTGGTAAAACAATTTTTGGACCTGTCACTTTTTTATTGGGGTCACTTTTATTTTACTGAAGTTACTCGAAATTTCAAATACTCAAAAAGTCAGCTCTTTGAAAGTTAAACTTCCAATGTGATATGTCAAGAAACAAATGCCAGAACCTTCTATTCCAGCTTACACACTGTGCCAAAGGGTGCTCTTTTTAAGATTCCTCTCAAAGTGTGAAAAGTGTAGAAATCTATCTCTTCTATACTAATTAAATATATCACATGTCATGAATACACTATATTCAGTGCTTTCTCAGATTATATAATTATGGTTGACCCTTGAACAACCTGGGCACGAACTGTGCAGGTCCAGTTATACACAAATTTTACACAATACACAAGTATTGATACAATGTAATCAGAGGTTGGCTGAATCCATGGATGCAGACTTGTGGGCCAATTATAAGTTATATGAAGATTTCAACTGCACAGGGGGTCATCACCCCTAACTCCCATGTTCAAGGGTCAGCTGTATCTGCTTTGAAAATCACTGACTCAGCCTTCAGCCAAATGGAAATATGTCTCATTTGAACCAGATCACTGGTAGTAATGGTGTGATGCCATTTTTTTAAAAACTATAATATTTTCACTTTGAGTAACAATCATCGATACAAACTGAATTGGACAAATTCATTCAGAGGGGTGAAAGTGTCAGCACAATTTAACCTACTTATAGGGGTGAATCTTAGTTTTTCCTCAGTGGAGAAAAAAAATATCAGTAAGTGCTTTTAAATCTACCTTGTTTTTTGCCACTTCTTTAAAAACAAGACAGATACTTCTTTGTCTACACCAAAGAGCTTTCAAAATAAAAATCAATATCTCCTCGGAAAGGAAGCAGGAAGACACCCTGGAGTTGTGCATTTAAGATAATACTGTGTGTAGAGTATTTGAATAGACAACATCAGAGGTGCAGTAGCTAGATGCTTCCTCAGACTGGCAGTGATCCAGCCTTCAGACAACATTGTTTTTTAAACAGATCCTTAGTTGTATGGATCACCTTGGTTTCTGTTGGCAAATTATCCAGAGAACTTTACACATCTGAATTTTTTTGATCTTAGCTATGAGCTGAATATTATCCTAGGAGCAGATATAAACATCACATCCTCTTCCCTTAGTAGGAATTGATGAAAGTAAAATCAAGTTGTGGTTAAAGGAATAAATTTCATTATTGACACCTACCTTGCATTTTACAGGTATAAACAGTGACACACCACTTTCTGGAGAAACCAAAGGCTTTGTTACAGTAAACTGGTCCAGTGTGATATCACAAGTATAAAAAATATTCCATTCTGTATCAAAACTAGGCACATGCCTTTATTTATAGTAACAGAAGTGAACAGAGTTGAGCATTTTTGCCTTGGGTCCTATCTCTTGGCATCCTACATCAGACAAAACTCATCTCTCCACATATATCCACCCATAACTCCAGGGATCTAGTCTCAGGGTTATCTTTATGGAAAGGAAGGTAACATCACACTTGGGTAGATAGTGGTGTGTAACTAAAAAGCACAACCTCTCATTCATATTGCTTCAAAACATATACAGCATATGTGTTTCCAAAAAAAAAAAAAGAGTAAAGAATATATTGATTTCTTTGTGGTTTTGAACCAACAGTATGGGATGATGCAAGGTTTTTAACAAAGGAGAATCATAGATACAAATTTTTCTGTCGAGTATGGTTTAGACAAATGTGTCTTTTTAATACGTAAATCCTACATTGTAGGTTGTTCCTTTTGATTTCTTCTTTTGTTTTTGCAGTGGTAGAAAAGGTTGAGTAACTGTCCATGAGCATGAGCCGAAGCTTCAGGTTCATTACTGAGATCCCCAGAATGCCAGTATTTGCAATGCAAACAATTAGTACCCCACTGTGTGAAGGGCTCTGACACATGCCTGCCTGCCTGCTTCTAGGTGGAGCGTCTCCATCAGAAGTCCTCCTGCTTCTGCGGACCCTGCTTTGACACAGGGAAGCTGCACTAAGCTGCCTTTTAACCTAGTACTTCTCTTGCGCCAGGCTGTCTCACTGGTTACAGACAATGACACAGAAACAATAGTCGGAGCGGCCAACCCTCAAATCATTTTCATATTGAACCTCCTGGGTCCGGCCACCTCCCCTTCCACGACAGCACCATTGTTTTTTCGGGGCACATACTCAAGGTCAATGCTGTTTTTGTGTTTGCCTTTCCCTCGGCTCCACACAAAAAGGAGGAGAAAGCAAAATAACACCACTCCCAGGAAGGTGAAACAGCCCATGGCCGTTGACACCAGTATTGTCTTAAGGTCCAGGGAGAAAGTATTGGCATTGGTGCCATTGGAAATGGTGTCATTGGAGTCGGTCATGTACATAGGGGTCCTGTTGGCATAAAGGAAGCGGTCTGAAGCGAACCCTTTGACAGTTAAGGAGGCCGTGAAGGTGTCGTTCCCCGCAGCATTGCTAGCGATGCAGACGTACATCCCGCTGTCTTGATCCTGGGCGAAGCGGATCTCCAGGGTGCCATCGCCCAGCACGGTGGCTCTTCCATTGGACTTGGTGGTGATGAACCGCCTTCGAGGTGTCACCCAGGAGATCACAGGCTGAGGGTCTCCATCGGCATTGCATTCCAGCTGGACCGTCTGCCCCTCATCCACAAGCAGATGCTGCAACTTCTTTTCACGGATTTTGGGTTTTTTGCAGGTGAAGTAAAAAGAAAGGGCAGTGCTGTGGAAATCTTTGAATGACCTCTCGCGGATAGTGTCCGGGCCAGCGCACATGGGCTGCTGGCCACCGAACTGCAGGGTTGGGTGCCGCTGCAGGATCCATAGGAGGCGGCAGTCGCAGGCCAGAGGGTTGTTGTTAATGCTCAGGACCTCCAAAGCCCTCGGGGAGGAGAAGACGTTCTCTTCCAGAGTTTCCAGAAGGTTCTGAGACACGTTGAGCACACGAAGGAAGCGGAGCCCTTGGAAGGAGTGAGGCTCGATGGTGCGGAGCTGGGCCCCCACTATATGAAGCTCTTGGAGGCGGATCAGGTCAGAGAACATGCCTGCCTCAATAGTGCTAATGGGATTGTAGGAGAGGTTCAGATGGGTTAGGTAGACCAGGTGTTTAAAGGCAAGGAAGGGGACGGTGGATAGATTGGTGTTGGTGATGGAGAGAGAGGTGAGGTTGAGACCATAGAGGCTGTTGGCAGGCATCATATCCAGTAAAGGCCAATAGTCAATCTCTAGATGTTTCAGGTGGAACAGTCTTTTAAAGGCATACACGGGCATGTTGTTGATATTGAGATGCTTCAGGTGCAGGCTGATGAGGCTGCGGAGGTGTGAGAGGGCTTCTGTGGGTACCGCAGTGAGGTTACATTTCTCCAGTGTGAGCTGCTCCAAGCTAAGCAGCCCACTGAAGGCCCGGTGTGATATATAAACCAAATCGTTGTCCCCCACTTCTAGAGATTTCAGGTTATGCAAATCCTGGAACATGTAGTCCAGTAAAATGACAATCTTATTCTCACTAATGTCAAGCTTGGTGAGGTTGGAGAGGCCCGTGAAGACCCCTAAAGGGACCAACTTCAGGCGATTGCCCTTCAGGCGGAGGGAACGCAGGTTGAAGAGATTGTTAAAGGCTCCTGGCTCCACACTGGCAATGATGTTGTCACTCAAGTCTATCTCCTCCAGCAGAGGGTAAGAGATGAATTCTTCGGGGTTGATGCTTTTCAGCCTGTTCTTGCTGAGGTCCAAGATTTTGGTCTCGATGGGAATGCCCTCTGGGATGGCGATCAGCCTCCTCCTGTGGCAGCTAACAGATTTGTTCTGGGCTGAGCACTCGCAGCGAGCAGGGCAGCCAATGGTGGATCCCATGAAGATTAAGACCACAGCCAGACCCAGGAATGGCTGCCAACATGATAAGGCCGTGTGAAGCATGACTCCCCCTCTTAGTCTACACCTTGGTCACGGGCCTGCAGGAGAAGGGGCCAAAGAAGGGAGGAAGAAAAACTGAGTTAGGAAATAGATAGGTAAAGAGACATAAAGGGAGACAGTGAGTACGATGAAAAAGACCCTAGATTTGGAAGGCTACAGATCAGATCTGACCTTTAAACCCGAGGGCTGCCATCATTAACATGATCTTGGGTAGGTTATTAATATCTCGCCTCCCTGTACTTCAGTTTTCTTGGCTGTAAAATGGAAATAAGAAGGACGATGATAGTACCTTTCTAGAGTGACGACAGTTTCAGTATTGAACAACTCTGTGTGCTCAGTTGTGTTCTATTCTCTGAGACCCCATGTGGACTGCAGCCCTCCAGGCTCTTCTGTCCATGGAATTCTCGAAAGACTTACAGTGTCTGGCACAGACTTGTGCAAAATAATACATTTCACAAAAGGCTTTATTTTGAACTTAAAGGACAGAAGCAGAGGTTAGTGGTTAAGAGGACATTTGTGCAGTTTGAATCAGTGTCTGTATCTCTGATGTTTGTGATGTCATCTTCTTAAAAATGAAGCTAATAGAAGCTTCACTGAACATTAGGAACCTTGGGTTCCAAGTACAAAACAAAGTTACATTCAGTGAAAGAGGTTGAGATGTTTTACCTTCATATGTAAATATTCTGTTAAAGTGAAAGTGTTAGTCATTCAGTCATGTCAGAGTCTTTGCGACCACATTGACTGTAGCAAGCCAGGCTCCTCCATCCATGGAATTTTCCAGGCAAGAATACTGGAGTGGGTTGCCAGTTCCTTCTCCAGGGAATCTTCCAGGCCCAGGGATCGAAACCAGGTCTCCCTCATTGCAGGCAGATGCTTTACCGTCTGAGCTACCAAGTGAAAGTGAAGTCGCTTAGTCGTGTCCGACTCTTTGCGACCCCATGGACTGTAGCCTACCAGGCTCCTCCATCCATGGAATTTTCCAGGCAAGAGTACAGGAGTGGGTTGCCATTTCTTTCTCCAGGGGATCTTCCCGACCCAAGGATCAAACACAGGTCTCCTGCATCATAGGCAGATGCTTTACCATCTGAGCCACCAGGGAAGTCACCTTTAATTAGAAAGTTTACCTCTTTCAGAATTCAGCAAATTTTGATTTATGAAGCGTTTTTCTTTTTTGAGGTAAACAAAAAGAGCCTCAAAATCTTCCTGAACTCTTCGTGTTTATCATAGGTATGAGGCATCATAGTGGCTTTGAAGATGAAAATTCTTTAAGATTTTTGGGTTAAATATATGAGTGGGAAGAGCCATCATTTTAAGAAAAAAAGTCTTTAAATAATAAATGAACATCATTTTTTTTATATTCAAATTCAAACCCATTAAATCTGTTAAGCTGAAATTAAATAGATATCAGATGAGATTGAAACTGACTATGTTTTAAATGTATGTTGTTAAGCAGATGCTGAACTTACTGCTAATTGAATAGTGAGACGTATGTTATGGAGAAGTATGAACCTGAGATCCCCAGGGGTGTGCTTCATCCATGGACACCATGTTCACTCAAGGGCAAGTAGTTTAAAGTAATATTTTTAGATATAAAGGTACCTGATAAAACTTCAGCATTCACTCCTGAATCGTTTAATAAGAGTATAATTCTTCAATCAGTGTTTACATATGTCTATGTATACATAACTATGTCTATATCTAAACACATCTATCCATAAAAATGACAAGTAAGAACAAACTGAATAGTGAATCACTAGAAAGAATGGCCTCAAAATATAGGACAAAAGCAAAAATGCAGAAAGTGCTAGTAAAATCCATTAGAGGTGAGAAAGATTTAATTTTGCCACATCTTTTCCAATATTTCTTTGTGGGTCAAACTGAAGTCCATCTTGAAAACCAAAAGAAATCAGCTGAGAAATTATTAGAACAAAGAGAATAAGTAAATTAACATATTATACAATAAAAATAATTTTCATATATAAAAATCATTTAGAATCATATAAATCATTTAGAAAATATTACTGTATAAGATGATTCCAGTCATAGCAATTCTGAAAAAGTCAAATCTTTAGAATAAACTAAATAAGAAATACACAAAATATTACAACCATTCAGCCCTAATGAGTAAACAAAAAACTTACTAAAAAGAGGGATACAGTATATGTTTCATAGAAAGATTTAAAATTATAAAGATAATTCTCAATAAATATATACAGTTTGAAGAATATTTTTGGATTTGAAAAAGCCTCAGGTTAACTTGGAAGAATATAAATATGAGACTAATCAGAAACATCAAAAATTAGTAATAAAAACACCCTTATGAAAAATTTAAACATAAATTACAAAACTATGATAAAAATTAGCATTATGCTGGCATGAAAATACACAGTGAATGAAACAGTGAAGAATTTTATCTAAATATATTTGAGAAGTCAGCAAATGTGAAAAGTGGCATTTTAATCCAGTGAGAAAAATATAAATAACTAGGGATTTAGTGGGAAAATTTGTACATCAACTTCATTGGTTCCAATAAAATAAATTCCAGATGAGGGATTAAAATGCAAGAACAAATAATATACCAGAAGAAAATTCTTTAATTTTATAATAAAAGAATTGAAAAGCCTTTTCTATGACGAAAGCTAGCACGCATGAAAGAAAAGAATAACCTATTCAACTGTGTACATTTGAAAAAAATTTAGTATAACAAGCAAGTAAACACACACACAAAGGCAATTGCTATAATGGAGAATATCTTTTAGGTTCATAATAGATAAGGGATTAAGCACAGTGCTAAGCAAACAGTTCTTATTAATCCATAAGGACAAGAGGTGGATGTCAATATAAAACTAGGCAATGAATGTAATAAAGGCTAAAAGCAGCTAATATATGAAAAGCTGACCAACTTCACTATGCAAAGAAATACAAATTAAACAGGAGTATAACACCTTTGCCCATGAGATTGACTAAGTTTAGTGACTGAAGAAACTGATATAAGAAATAGAAACTGGTATAACCTTCAGGAGGTAGAGGTACAACAATGAGGAGGTTAAATGATACATATAAGTTTAATATATTCATCCCTTTAAACCATTTTCCTTTAAAACATTTTCAAAGCCACTTTACTGAGTAATGATTGACATACAGAAACTATACAAACTGTACATACTTAATGTATACAATTTAAGTTTGGAGATAAGTATATATCCATGAAATCATCACCACAATCTATACCATAAACATGTGTACCATCTCCAAAAGAGGGTAAATCTTATGGACCTGTTCTTTTTCCCTAGAAATGTATCATAGGGAAATAATTTAACTAACATACATAGATATTTGGTGCAGGCTTGTCTATAATGTAGGAAAACCGGAAATATGTAATAGTAGGATCTTAGTTGTATGTTAAGATACAATCATACTACAGAATATGTGGAGGCAGTGGTTTAGTTGCTAAGTCATGTCCAACTCTTGTGACCCCATGGACTATAGCCTGCCAGGTTCCTCTGTCCATGGGACTCTCCAGGCAAGAATACTGGAGTGGGTTGCCATTTCCTTCTCCAGGGGATCTTCCCAACCCAGGAATTAAACCCGGGTCTCCTGCATTGCAGGCAGATTCTTTACCAGCTGAGCTACAAGGGAACATGTAGCCAATAACATGTAAGACTTAGGTCTTTACTCATTAATGTGGAAAGATGAATAGATATATATGAATAGATATATACTGCTTTTTGTCTGCATGGGTATATACAAACATGCATATTTCTATGTACATTCCTATATTAGGAATTTTATATCCCTATATATTATATATATTAATATATTAGGAATATTGTATATTCCTAATATATTACAATAATAGGAATATAATAGGAATATATATGTATAATATAAATATTAATGTTTACTATGTAATATACAAATGCATTTTTATATAGGGATATATATAATACATAACATAATAGTATATATAATATAGGAATTTATATATAGGAATTATGTAATATAAATATATTACAATAATATTATATATAAATATATATTATATATATTCCTATATAGAAATATATATTTTAATATAGTTTGTAATATGCTCCATAAATATATAATGTAATTAGTATATAAGTATTAATATATACATGTTTATATATACATGTTTATATTCACACACACAAAAAGGAATATATATTTCTTCATTTTTATATAGATATATATAGGAATATAGGGTTTCCCAGGTGGTGCTTGTGGTAAAGAATCCACTCACCAATGCAGGAGACAAGAGACATAGGTTTGATCCTTGGGTTGGGAAGATCCCCTGGAGGAAGAAATGGCATCCCAATCAGAATCTGCCTGCAGTGCAGGAGACCCTGGTTCGATCCTGGATCAGGAAGATCTGCTGAAGAAGGGAGAGGCTACCTACTCCAGTATTCTGGCCTGGGGAATTCGCAGAGAGTTGGACATGACTTTCACTTTCACTTTTCCAGTATTTTTGCTGGGAGAATCCCATGGACAGAGAGCCTGACAAACTACAGCCTACGGGGTTGCAAAGAGTCAGAAACAACTGGGCATCTGAGCAGAGAGCAGAGTCATGTATATATAGGCAAGAACAAAACTGGGAATATATAATGACAATGTTGACAATAGTAATTACTTTGAGATGGAAATCACCTCTAATCCCTCCATTTTCTTATAACTTTACATGCATTCTATCTTCCCCACAATATAACTTGTATTACTTTTATAATTAGAAAATAAAACTGTTTTGATTTTTGAAGTTGTTTTCACATGTAAAAAGTCATAGATATATTTAACAATAAGGGATCAAATTTGCGTTGACATTTCTGAAGATTATTTGAATCTTCAAAAAAGTCTTAGCATCAGCTTGCCAATACTAAAAGTTTGCTGGGATATTGATAAGAATTGTGTTGAATCTATAGTTTTTTGTGGAGAACTGATAGCCCAAGGTCAGGGTTGGCGACCGAGAGCTCCAGGCTGCGACAGCGCAG